CAAAGAAGGACGAACAAAAGTCTGCAAACTGGAACGAAGCAGAGACCAGGAGCTCCTCACTACCCGCGCTGAAGCTGAGATCGTTCACCAGCTTTGTGGAACGGTATGCGCGTGCACGTCTCATCCTGACATCATGCGTCTTTCCGGCAGTGTGAATTAACCAAAATCAAACAATCCTGGGACAAATTCCAAAGTCACATTATCTGTGCATTTTCCGGAATCTCTGTGTGAAAGGGGCTAATGTGTACTTATATTTATGAGTCATTAAATCATGTTTAATTTGGAATCTCTGTGCATGCTCTTTGAGGTGGACCCCATAAATCTCCATAATATGACAGACAGACCAGAACAGTTTGACCTAAACGTATCAAAATTGAAAATACTGTGGAAACAAAGACACCTACATCTTGGATGCCCTTGAGGTTAAGCTAAAACATATCAAAAATTAATTTCAAAGTGAACTATCCCTTTAAAAGTATAAATTCTGTCACTCATCATTAACTAAGCACACACAACAATACAATTCTTGCATTCTGTCGGGAATATATATAATATAACTGCATAACATCTTGCTTTTTAAAACCACAAAATGAAAATTCTCTTTTTGCTTTGATGCATGTAAACCTGTTCTGAGAAAATAGCATAGGCTAATAGGGCCACTTTAAGATAATGAAGGAAAACACCAACCTATTTGTTCCTCTTACCTTCATCTTTTATTCTGCAGGGTTCTTCCTTAATCTCCATCTTTACAATAGTATGTCCGTAGTTTCTCCTGGAGTAATTCCTCCTGCTTACTTCTTCTCCTGTGGGAAGATGGGAATATTCCCCAGCATTTAAACTCTCATGAACGGCTGTGGGAGATTCACTGACTGAAGGAGTGAATTGTGGTCGTTGTTTCTCATTTAGCAGATGATCATCACACTTACAATCACTCGAGATTATTCATGGTTTAAGTGTTTTACTCAAACTGTTTAAAAACACTCAACTTCTCAAACTTTTTATGTTTATGTAACGGAGTTTAAATGCATGTAATTGACGTACGAGATGCATTTAAACTATGTTTAACGTGTTTCATTTGTTCATTACATAAAATAAAAACACGTGAAAAAAAAAAACAGTTAACAAGTTTAACGTTACGTAATGAACAACATCAGTCGTTTGGATTTAGATGTCTCCTAAATGATAAAGTAAATGTACTCACACTCGGAGCAGATTTAGAGCAGAATGATCAACTGTGGGTGCTTCTCAATATCCCTCCTCGTCTCCTCGCTCCTCCGTCCTCCCTCCTATGACCCGGAAACCGATCGAGCTCAGCCATCTTGAAGGACATCTCAATTCTCTAATTGCACCGTGAGGAGTCGAGGATCGAGGAGATAGGAGGCTTCCTGAGGAGTCATAAGCGAGGATACACAGGTGCATCCTACGCGGAACTGTTATGTTGACTAAACGTGACGCACGTGTCAATTCTCCTCCCCCTTCACATCGTCACAATCATTTTAATTTATACTTTACCTTTGCAGTTTATATAAACCACACATCTCAGATATTTCAACAGTATAGCCTATCTTTATTATTATTTATTATGAATTTATTAAATAACCAAACTTCAACAACATAGGGCAGATCCTTTAGCGCTGCTGATGACACTGTGGAGTGACGCTCGAGTGATCAAGTACTCCAATGTATATAAAAAAGCTTTTATTCGATTCCTCTGTCCTCCTTTCCTTTCCTCGCTTCCTTCTCTCGCGTCCTACAGGGGGTGGAGCTGAGACGCAAGGAAAGGAAGCGAGGGAAGGAAACGAGGATGCACAAATAAGAAATGAGAAGCACCCTGTGTGTTTCAGTTCTCATGTTTATGTACCCTTCCCTCCCCTCGTTCACTTCTCTTCTTCTCCTAGACTCGGATGTGTGTCATTGCTTCGGTTGCTAGAGCGCCTCTACTGGCGGAAACCAATTTATATAAAACTATAGTTTAAATGTGCTATCTGTTATTTTGGCTGATATCATAAAATTCTTTTTATCTTGCCACATGTGTTTGATTTTGGATAATAGAAAGATACAAATTTTAAATATTATTTTAGAAATAACATTTATTGGTTACAGTTTATTTATCATAATAGAGGATGTTTGGAAAGGCCTGGCCTATGTCTATGATAGCCCAGGGCGATATTTAAACTTGCAAATTGTTTTTGATGCTGATGATTTTAAAACAAGCTTATAGGGCTGTTACCAGAACTAAACTGACCTGAGCCTGAAGTTTACATGCTTCGCTATTATTGATATGCCTTGAGTTAAAGGGTTAGTTCACCCAAAAATGAAAATTAAGTCATTAATTACTCACCCCCATGCTGTACCAACCCCGTAAGACCTTCGTTCGTCTTCGGAACACAAATGAAGATATTTTTGATTAAATTTGAGAGCTGTATAACTACCACATTGGCTCCTAAAGGACTGCCTCTTGACGGCCCAGAAAGTCAATGAAGAAAATGTTTAAATATCCCAAGTGACTACCGTGGCTCAACTATATGTTTATCAAGCGACGCGAATACTTTTTGTGCGAAAAAACAAACAAAAATAACGAGTTTATTCGACTATTTCTTTTCTTCCTTGTAGGCCAGAACGAGACTTCCTTAGATTTCCACGACGCATGCGCGAGAATTGCGATCTGAAGTAGTGTAAGCTGGCGTACGCAGATCGCAAATCTCGCGTATGCGTCATGGAAATCTAAGGAAGTCTCGTTCTGGCCTACAAGGAAGAAAAGAAATAGTCGAATAAACTCGTTATTTTTGTTTGTTTTTTCGCACAAAAAGTATTCGCGTCGCTTGATAAACATATAGTTGAGCCACGGTAGTCACTTGGGATATTTAAACATTTTCTTCATTGACTTTCTGGGCCGTCAAGAGGACCTTCAATTGAAAATTGAAGTACAAAGAATGTGCATCAGGTGTGTTTTTCTTTTTATGTTTTTTATTAGCTTATGAAGCCAATGTAAACTCTATCATTAGGTTTAATTTTTATATTACAATGATATCATATTTTGTGCAGAGAGCTTGCTTTATAAATGAAAAAGCCTTACAATGTCAATGAGTAAACATTCAAATTCAATTAAAATTTACCGTCAACAGACGTTGCAACATGACATCATGACTTTTGCGTAAACATACACGCCACTTTTTTATCTCTACGCATTTTGAGCTATCCGTGTGTATCCACGTGTATGCGTGTATGTCTACGCCATTAACGTCCGAGTGATTCCGTGTGTCTGTACACGCTGTCAAATGTCCGCGCGAAACGAAGAAAAATGTAGATCTACATCTGGGGAGTGATCTTTTTTTTCCTTGGATGGTGAGGGAACAGTCATAAATGCCATTAACCCCAGTGACGGTTAGGTTTAGGGACGGGGTTGAGGTAAGTCATATATTTATATATACAGTTTAGTAATAACATTAAGTCAACGGCGTTCATAAACACGCTGAAAAGTTATGCGTCTTGATAGCACGCCAAAAATGGAAATCTGAATTGGCGTGTAATACACACGCTACTTCATGAGATCAGTCTGGACGTTGAATGAACGTTTCTCACTGACACACCCCCAACTCGTACAGACCGGGGCTTAAAGAAAATCCCGAGCTCCCCACTGGTATTTACGACACTGTGGTGGCGTTCTAGTGCGTTCAACTCGTAATTACGATGTATACGAGATGACTTGAACGCAGCAATAGGCTATGTGCACAAGCGTAGTTTCGAACTTCCGCTTTTGTCAGAAGTCGGCATATCAGTTTCCGGTCTACGACTGGTCATCCGCATCCACTAATATACAAACAAGATGAGTGCTGCTGTTGTACGAAAAAAGAGTTCTTAAACACATCTAAGTTTCTAAGAACTGTGGGTGGATCTAACGTCCGTTTCACACCCGTTTGCAGTGTGTGTTGCGGTGCAGGAGCGTGCTGTTAGTGTGTTCACATCATGATGCCATTATGCTGCGTTTGCAGTGAATAACTGATCCGCGGCTGTACAGAGTCCAGAAGTTATGCTGCAACATATTTTTAAAAACAAAAAGTTGTGTCAGCATTGCGATTCTTTTTATGCACGTTTAAACACAATTTAAACAATGCAAGTTAGGGCTATCCCAGCTAACACAAATACGTGACTGTTACGTAACTGCAACGTTATCTGGTGACCAAACTTTCGTCGTGGCGACGTACTCCATGCATTACTTATAAGTTGCTCAAGCAAGTGGTCAAATATTTACTATATTAAAATCGCAAATAATTTAAATTAAAACTTGAAATTGACAAAAACAGCCGACTTGCCTTTTCTTTTGCATTTTAATTTTAAAACAATAGATCTTGCATGTCACAAATAACTTATTTTTCTACCTCCACGATTGAGACGAGTGTTCATTCTGTCGGCTGGTTGAAGTAAATTGTAGTTTTCTTTCATTAAATGTGCATTTATGGTGAGATTACTACATTTTATTTAATTAAACGCATTTATGGTGAAATTACTACATTTTCAGGTCAATCTTTATCATTTGACCAGCAGCGTTTGCAGCACAGCAGAAATAGACTCGGTGTGGAAACGATCACTGTGCTTCTGTTATACGTACCACATCAGTGAAAAGTGAAAGCCTGACGTAGTCTGACGTTGGTTCAACGTTAATTAGATGAGCAAAACAATGTCAGATCAACGTTGTTTCTATGTCATATTTCCACGTTGATTCAATGTCAGTTTGCTATCTGGGATGTGCAGTAGGACTTTTAGGAATTGAACATAGCAAAGAGTTTTTTTAATGCACATATTTTGAAAAGAGTTTTTTATTTGCTAATAAAAATGAGTGCCATCATCAGTGGATTCACATTAAATGTATTCTTGCTGTGGCCAAACTCTGTAATCAAATCAACTGGATCATCAGTTATTATAAATTATTAACAAAGACAAGATGGATTTTAAAAGAAAAACAAACAAGAGGCTAAACTGGTTCAGGCACTTTCTCCATTTGCGTCATGCTTCACAGAAGCTGTTCAAAATATTTACTCAGTCATTTCCTGGTGGATTCTGTGGTTTTCGGCTGTGATTAAAGTCTGAGGTTTCAGTAGCCGTCTTCTCCAAGGGTTTAAATGAAAAAAATATGAACTAGGGATTAAAATAATTATAAATATTTCCAGATCTGGATCTAGGTGAGTGTTTTCTGTCATTTGTTTGGCATTTCTATCACATTCATATAACGAGAATGCATAGCTCTGTTTGAAAAAAAACAACTCTATTACAAATACATTTCAGAGTTTGCAGAAAAATTACTTTCTATGTCACTTTTTTGCTTTGATCTGAAAATGTTTCAAAGATCATTATGGTCTCAAATCTTTGGCCTGCATTGTACATTAGATTACTCTGTAATAGTGTTTACATGATTTCTCTTTATAATTGATGCAGTTATTTTGTGTGTTTTGCAGAATTTCTCTGATACCTCTGATATCTCTGATTTCATGTCAGTAATGTGACAAGAAAACTAAAATATAAGGCCAGAAAGAGAACGAAACGCTGCTGAAAGAAAAGAAAAAATGACAGATGAAGACAAGCCTGCACTGAAGGAAAAAAACATTTAACATAAAAGAAAATGTCAGTGGATTCAGAAAACATCTAACTCTGCAGCTGAAAAACAGTATGGACATATATCTACCAAAGTGTAAGAAAGTTTGAGAGGAATTTCAGATTTTAACACAAATATGTGCATGTTTACAATAATAATAACATTTACGCAGTGCAGATATGTATAAGTAAATATTGACTTTTGACCCTTAAATTTTGCTTTTAATATAATTAAATGCATGGAATTTAATAAAAGTGAAATCCTTGATATATCAGAATATTATATCACATATTAAATCAAATAGTTACTTTTCAATAGGTTTTCACCATACTGATATCATATTATATTATATATTATATACAGATATTGGTTTCTAGATTGTGATTCTAAAGAGCAAAAACAGATCGATAAAAAATGAAGAAATGTCATATTAAGATCATTAAAATGCTCTTGCATCATTATGATTTCAGGCTGGATTATGATCATGTGACTCTCTCAAACCGTAGCCTGAACTTCTGTTTGTTTGCTTTCAGTCTCTCTTGATCCAGACAGACCTGCGGAGAAAAGAGAAATTCATGAGGTCAGAGTTTCATAGCTCGTAATCATAAAATAAATCTGCATGCGTTTTGATTTCTAACTCTGTGTTTTCTCTTCAGAAAGCGCCAGTTTTTCTCATCAAACTGTTGAAGATCTAGAACATCATCTAGAACATCATCTAACATCTAGAATGTCATCTAGAACATCTAGAACATTCAACATCTAGAATGTTCTTCACGTCACTTTCAGACGGTGAATCAGAATGAGACTGGACTATTATTTTCTTCTGAAAATGGTCCTTTTTAAAATGTTTATGCATGGTTATGACTGTACTGTGTATAGGCTATACTTAAACTGATTTTTATTTAATAGTGTGTACACAGCTTTATATATTTTGTCATAATGATCAGACAATTGAACAGGTATAGTTCATGTTGCTCAAACTGTTTAGAAATATTATGCATGCAAAATATATTATTAATGCAAAATATTTTCCCTTAAAGGACAAGTTCGGTATTTTACAATTAAAGCCACAGAAACCGAAATTTCTTGGGCCAGCAGCATGTGTCCAAATTTTAATTTTAACCGTTCTATTTCTTTAGAAACGACCTTGAAATAGGGCTTTAAGTGTAAATTACTGAACTTGTCCTTTAAACGTGTCATTACTTTACTTCCGTTTTGAAGGTATTTTTATCTTAAGAACCTTCTATAACTGGTGTCAAGTGTCTTATTCAAGTGCACAATGATCTCTGTGATTGAGTTGCATCATGAGCTCCTGGTCAGCAGGGATGAAATGTCTGTATTATTTGGATTCTGCTGAACACTTTGTGAAGGTCATGTAAGTGTCAAAGTGTATTTACAACATTAAACTCCGTCTGTTTATACTTGAAAGTGATCTCGGTCCCAAATTTATTCTTTAATGTCTAAATGACCATGTTTATACAATGCGCAAAAAATATGTATCTTAGCCAACAGACGTGGCTGCGTAATGTCACTTGTCACAAGAAGAACAGCCTATATTATGAACACTAAAAAAAAGAGAGAAAAAATCTTAATTTTAAACAGTAACATTCATTTTAAAAGTAATGGAAAAGACATGTCAATTGCTTAAAGGGTCATGAATCCCCCCTCTTTCAGCTCAAGTCTAGCTCACAATCTTTTTGAAAAATTTAACTTAAATGGGCGTGGATAGCTGTGAGAAGAAGGTAGGGGAGTGGGTTTGGTATGGCCATCACTGCCAATGTCCCATGCATATCGACTGTCACTAAAAAGCAATGGTAAAACGTGAGGAAATGCTAGATATTTTTATATAGCTGGTAAAGTTAAAGTCTTATGAAACTGTCACTTTATTATTGTCCTTTTAAAAGTAACTGAATGCCCTGCTACATTAGCCTACAGTAATCGTAATTCTATTTAAAACATATAAATGTAGGCTACATGTATAATTATAATGTCATTATAAAATATATAGTGTTTATATAGACACTATAAATGTATTTGAAAATGATACATTTTCCGCTTTAAAAAAATCGTTCCGTGAATTGCCTACATCTACGCGCTCCCTGAATCCCCATCTGGGCTCAGTGGACCAGATGGCTCTGTGGAGGAAGATGAGTTCTCATTTTAGACACAGACACACACACACACCTCTGAAGGGATAGAAAAGTGTTTGGGACTTGGTACCGCATCACTGGCAAGACGCAACTTAGTTGTCAACAAGGGGAAGTCCACTCTCCACTTATATAATTTAGATGTGTCCATGGTTGATGGCAAACCAACCGTCCAGAGCCAGAGTCTAGCCCCTGCAGCATCGCGGGGAACATATTCAACCCATTTAGACTTTTGCACCACGAAAACAAACACTTGTGTGCCATAATTGCCTTTCTCATCTACTACGCAATATCACAGTTTGACATGTCTGACATGGTGTCATGAATAATTAAGAGACAGTGTCTTCTTATAGGATATGAAATCTCAGTCTCATTAATAATTATGAGACACCGATGAGTCATCAAGCACTCACAGTGCATGGCTCACAGCCGGTGACGTGGACACGATGAAGATTTTAAACCCGGAAAGCGGGAAAAAACTAAAAAAACTCTTTTTTGTCCTATGCAGGTCATGGAAATATTAATACAATTGAATTGATGATTAATGCTGTGTCGTATTCACATTTGTAAAATACGCACGTCCAGCAGGAGGCATTGAGCAACCGATGCAGTCAATCGTGTCAGAGTAGAAGCTGCAGCTAAAAATAGCTTCTTTCCACCTATTCACTCAAGTTATATTTCCTCAATGTTTCATGTTTGCGTAAATAGGCGGAGCCAAAGATTAAGTAATAAGAGCAGCAAAGAGTTCAAAAATAGGTTTTTTGTTTTATTATCCCTCTTTCTCTCTCGATGAGTTTGTTCTGCTTTTTCGGAGCTCTTGTTCGGTTCTGGTCAGGATTAATTACAGGATTCTCTCTCTCTCACACACACACACACACACACACACACACACGCGCGAACAGTCGCACACAGAAAGAGAGAACTAAATGTGGATATTTCTGCTCTTCATCGATTTACTTTTACAGTCAACAGAAGGTGAATGAAACACATCTTTATGCATTTCGTAAAGCTGAGTTTAAAATGTGAGATTACTTAAATATTGCGGTTGAAGTGAATGTCACATGCCAATCATTGCGCAGGACACACTGTGGAGGGAAGGCAGGTGAGAGGGATCACATCTGGAGTATCAGACCCTGCAGAAGAGATAAAGTCTAAAACGAAAGATGGAAAGCCGAAAGAAGGACTCAAAAATCAATGAATCATGGGAGAAATGTGTACTGAAGCTTATTCGCAGAGAAAGCATGCCGCAAAAACCAAACAGTGAGTATTTTATTTGCAATTGTGTTTGGTTCTTTTAACAATTTATTTTCATTGAATATTCCTCCAGGAGATGTATTTTTTAAATAAACCTTAAAGCCTGAAGATTACTTAAGATTAAAGACATTTATGCAGCACGATGTTACAAAGAAAATGCAAACCATTGTATATAATTTAAAAAGTATATAGTTGTGTGACAACTTGCCCCAAATAAAACAGCATTTGAATGATGAACACAATCAACCCTTATTAATTGTTGTCTAAATGTGTGTATTTTGCTGTGTTCAATTTAGTTTCGATGACTGAAATTCACAAGAACTATCCTAATTTAAAACAGTTTAAATATAAAACTACAGCGAAAGCATGTTCGTCATTGGGCTTTTAATTCAAAACCGGAATTTACTGAAATGTTTACTTGAAATACAGACCCTGTGACAACTAGCCCCGTTTTTCTTTCCTTTATAGAGTTTATAAAGACATACATCTGTTTTATTATTATTATTCCAGTGTGTCTGGATGCAGCCGGACCGGTAGAGTTTCATCGTGCTGAATCAGAGACAGTCACAGGTGAGGTGAGGTGAGAGATTCACAGATCATCTACAGAGAAAGAGAGACCACTGATGTGTGGTACTGAAATCTGAGTGAAATGTGTTTTGGCTTTTAACCATTAGGATTAACGTAACAACCTAGCAACCACACATAGCAACCACCCAGAAAACCCTAGCAATCACCCATAACACCTTAGCAACCCCCTAGCAACTGCAACCACCCAGAATATATCTCAGCAAAAGTCAAGTCACCAGACAACTGATGTGTGGTACTGAAATCTGAGTGAAATATGTTTTTGGCTTTTAACCATTAGGAATAACCTAACAATCCTAGCAACTGCATAAGAATGCCATAGCAACCACCCATAACACCTTAGCAACCCCATAGAAACTACAACCACCCAGAATATATCTCAAGTCAAGTCACCTTTATCGTTTTATAAAATACAGATTGTTTTAAAGCAGCTTTTCAGGGATAAATGGGAAAATATTTATGCAATGATGCAATCAGAATACAATTCTGCTGTAAAGCAGCTTTAAAAAAACAATAGTGTGGTCAGCTGAGGTCAGCTCAATACCGGAGTAGTTAATAAATTATGAAATAACTTCAAGTCAGCCATAAAGCAGTTTTGTAGAAAACAGTGATGTCATTGTCAAGCTCAGTTCAGTTCTCACCCAACAGTGTCAGTGCAGTCAGATCAATAATATTGCTGAACATTATGTGTCTGCAACTAAGCGAGCCACAAGCAAGAGTGGCAAGGAAGCCAAACTCCATCGGTGACAGGAACTGAGCTAAAAATAAATACCCTAGAAATCATCTATAATACAGTACCCACAAGACAATAGAAACCAGCTAGAACACAACTACATATAGCAACACCGTTGAAATTGCCCAGAAACCCATAGCAACACCCTAGCAACCATCCTGAACACCCCAGGAAATGCATAGCAACATAAAACCTTCAAAATTCAAGCTTTCAAAACGAATTCAAACTGTCTAGCCTGGCTTTATCAAGCAAACATTTTGTTTGTATATTGAACAAATTTTTGATCTTGTTATAGTGTATTGTTATATTTATTGCTGTCTTTTTTCTCTTTAGATTACTACTGTACATCCAGCTTTTTTGAGCTTTCTTTAGCTCTCATTCAGCAGTCAGCGACGTCACTGTGTGTCTCCATCTGCTGGACAGAGTCCTGTAACGCAAGAGGACGCTTAAGCCTTGAGTGGTTGTTTTAAACCAATGGCAGCAGCGTATCTTACAGTAAATCCATGTAAAACACTGTACAGTATGAAGGTTGTCAGTTTACTGAAATGTGGTATTTTACCTAGACTGGCATCTCTGTCTACGTCTCTGTCCTTTTGCTTTTCCATCATGGAGGATCTTCAGCAGGTTGATCTGAACGTGTAGTTCAGAAGACATTTCACTAGCATTTTGCACCTTATTAACATGTTCTCATGATTTTACATCATTTTAGGGGTTCTGGGGAAAGTTCTTTACAATAAATTTTATATTGTTTTTTTTATAAATATAAAACCTCTGTGAGGTGTCTTACACCTGATGGTTTGTGTCTGTCTTCGCTTTGTGCTTCTGTGGTTTTGTATAATTACATTTGAAAAAGTTCTGCAGATACAGAGGATCCCGAATAGGATAGGTTTTTAGAAAAAAGGTCAGTGCTGGACTCAAGTGAGGACTATTTTCTCATTTTATTCTATGCTATAAAATACTTCAATACCTGCTGTCAATTTATTAAAGGGGTTATGCCATTACGGGGTTACGTCTACGCCATTAACGTCCGCGTCATTCCGCGTGTCTGTACACGCAGTCAAATCTCCAGTCATAAATGCCATTAACCCCAGTGACGGTTAAGTTTAGGGATGGGGTTGAGGTAAGTCATATCTTTTTTTTTACCTAGGATGGTAAGGGAACAGTCATAAATGCCATTAACCCCAGTGACGGTTAGGTTTAGGGACGGGGTTGAGGTAAGTCATATATTTATATAACGTTAAGTCAACGGCGTTCATAAACACGCTGAAAGGCGATTATGCGTCTTGATAGCACGCCAAAAATGGAAATACGAATTGGCGTGGCATACACACGCTACTTCATGAGATCAGTCTGAAATTTCAATCTTAAGCGTTCTATTTCATCAGAAATGATCTTAAAACAGGGCTTTAAGTGTAAAATACATAACTTGTCCTTTAACAAAATTATTTGAATGTCAATTCAATTTGTAAATCATGGATGTATAAGTGAATTTTGCCAAGAAAACATCTGCCGATGCTTTTTTTCATGAGTTTGTAGACTAGATGTCTGACTGAAACTCTTTAAACATGAAGAGCACTGGTACGGTTTCTCTAAATGAGGTTTCCTAAATGAGCGAATCTCTTTCCACAGTGTGAACACTTGTACGGTTTCTCTCCAGTATGAACTCTCTGGTGTTGTTTTAACTTGCTGGATGTAATAAAGCTCTTTCCACAATCAGAGCACTCATAAGGTCTCACACCAGTATGAATATGCTCATGCTCTTTTAATGTTGCAGTCGTGAAAAAATGTTTCCACAAAAAGAACAAAAGTATGGCTTCACAGCAGAATGAGTTTTAAGGTGTGTTTTTAAGTCCGACGAAGAAACATGTTTTATCACACTGATCACAGCTGAATGATCTCACTCCAGAGTGACTGTGCAGATGATCTCTGAGAATTCTTTTCTGTGTGAAACTTTTTCCACACTGAGTGCATTTATAAGGCCTTTCTCTTGTGTGAATTCTCATGTGATTATTTAGATGTCCTTTATGTCTGAAACTCATTCCACGCTCAGAACAGGTGAAAGATCTTTTGACTCCAGATTTTACATCTTGTTTTTGTGTGAAATTCTCTTCAGTCTTTGAAACGACTACATTTCCGTCTTCATTTTTGAAGTGATGAGGTTTTTGTAACAGATGTTTGTCTTCATTTTAAGTCAGTTTTTCTTCTTCATTTGTGAAATGATGGTGTTTGTCTTCATTCACTTCCATCCGGTCTGAAACCAGCATAAATTCAAATTAAAAAAGGACGAATGAGAAACAAAGAAATAAAGTTAAATCGTTTACTTCTGAGTCTCCTAGTTTTAGATGCAGAGTTCTATGTCAGTTTTCATCTTTTGAAGAGATTGAAGGAAAACACCAACTTATTTGGTCCTCTGTATCTTCATCTTTTATTCTGCAGAGTTCTTCCTTAATCTCCATCTTTACAATAGTATGTCTGTAGTTTTTTCTGGAGTAATTCCTCCTGCTTGCTTTTTCTCCTGTGGGAAGATGGGAATATTCCCCAGCATATAAACTCTCTTGAATGGCTGTGGGAGCTTCACTGACTGAAGGAGTGAATTGTGGTCGTTGTTGCTCCTTCAGCAGATGATCATCACACTTACAATCACTCGAGATTATTCAGCTTTAAGTGAATTAAGGGTTTATTGCTGTAATCAGACATCAACTAAATGTGGGAATGTGTGCAAAATAGAGACAAAGGAATAGTTTGCCATTTAGATGAGATTTACCTAAAAACAGCAGATGATCATCACACTTAAAATCACTCTCAATTATTCAGGTGCAAATGGTCGCTCAAATAGTCATTTAAAAATATTCATGACGTAAAACCCTTTGAAGTCTGCACCAAGAAAAAAGTGATGGAAATTTTTTTTGTTTGCATTTCTTATCTTTTTATGTCGCTAGTAACCACACTCAATGTATTTTTTTTTCCAACACATCCCATAATTTTTAAAATATCAGCCTCTACCAAATGGTTGAGATGTCACTTAATGGTAATAAATGGTACCTGAATTCATACACATACTTTGCCATACTTTTTTATTGCCTATCATAATTTATGATCAAAGCCTTTTCTAGTCTTGACAAAACACATTGTCAGAAAGGTCTGGGTCTCAAGGTTCCATATTTTGTAACAGAAGTGATATTTGGTATTAATTTGTTAAAGCAAAATGCATACAATTAAATTAAATGGAATTTCTGTCATTTTTAGTATTACGCCTAAACAAAATCTTATGGGAACTTGAATTTTTGTGATATCAACTTCAAATTTGGAACACAACTTGGTTAGATATGTATTTAGTACAGTATATTTGATTTAATATAAATTTAAAACTTCCATAACTTTTTCATACTTTTATTTTTTAAGTGCTTTTTACTTCAGCAATAATCAGCAGTGTTTTATTTAAAACAAGACTAAACTTAGGTCTTTATTCCAAAGCATACTTGAATTACAACCAAGTTTTAATAGTGCATTGTAATGTCTATTCTCAAAAAAGGGGTGACAGTTAACCGTTATGTGATAAATAAACCGTTTGGTTGAGCATGTATTTGAAAAATTATTAAAAATATAGTTAAGCTTTTTCATAGCACCAAGTTTTTGAGTTTCTCTATCTTGAGTTATAGTTTGTCATTGTCAACTAAGGCTCATTAAGGTTTTGAGAAAACTCAGCGCTGGTCAATGAAAATCCCACCCACATTAATCATGCAACCCACAATAATCATTTGAAGTTCGCTCCGGGTGGTCAAAGAGCTAATTTTAGAACTAACTAAACGTTCATGCCCAAAGTATGTGATCAGTAAGAAACAGTAAGAGCAGTGGACTTGCCAGCTTTTCATTCACCTCCTTTTCTTCTCTAGAAGAGGAAAGGTTACACTGTTTATGTCCAGTTCGCACACTGTACAATTATGTACAGAGAACCCACACAGTGTGTAAGAGTAACTAGCTCGATTCAATTCGATGTGTGTGCGACTATAAACAGAAAGTACAAAGTAATGATCCATAAATAATTAACTTAAAATACATTGCACAGAACCAACAAGAAAATAAATGTGTGCCTGAACTAGCAGCATACTTGTAGTAAAGTAATAATATAACAACAACCGGTAGAGCCGAGTGTTTTTCCTCCTTTGGGTGGAAACGTGTCATATGGCTTCTCATATTTGTTGTGTTTCTGAAACATTTTAGTTTTATTCTACAAAACTTACAAATAGTGTGGCTCTTGTCCAGCTCCTTTCCCCCCTTCAACTTCACAGAAGCCAAAATATTTCCACGCGAGGAGGGTGTTTGGATTTCGCGCTCAGCCATCGCGCTCTGTTTATGCACGCCACAGACGGTCCGGGCACTATACTTCCGCGCTTCATTTGTGAATCGATTCAGAATCGTCCACGAAACACCCGATGAAGCACCTTCCCACGGGAGAGCCACCTCACTTCAGAATGGTAAATGCCTGCATCCATCTCCCGACAAAGTTGCCCAAACAAACGTGACTGCAATGCCTTCAACTTACCGAAATTAACTGCTGTCACAGCTGTGCTCAACACAAAGTGCAGGTCTGGTTCCATACCTTTGGAGGCGAGTGCTTGTCGGTGCTGCATACAGTGGACAGATTTTGCTCTGGGGTTTACTGCCTTTATCCAAGCAACAAGACCACTCTTTCTGCCCATTATTGCTGCTGCTCCATCAGTACAAACGGCCACACATTTCCCCCAACTCAGCTCATGAAACTCAGTAAACTCAATTAAGGATCTTGAAAATCTCCTCGCCCGTTGTGCTGCCAGGGACCTCTTTGCAGAACAAGAAATCCTCCAGAATGGATCCATCCCACTGATAGCAGACGAGAGCGATTAGCTGTGCTGCACTAGCCACATCAGTAGACTCATCCAGCTGATGGGAAAATCCACAGCAACAAAGTCTCCCCACAAGTTGTGATAAGATGTCATCGGCCAGGTCACCCATCCTCCGGCTCACGGTGTCATCGGAGAGGGGTATGCTTTTTAATTTATTTGCTACCTCTGTCCTGAGCATTATCTCGCACATTTCGACAAATGCTGGGAGCATCAGCATCAGCTCTTCTGCGATTGTATGAGGCTTCTTGCATTTTACTATTCGCTGAGCTACTAAAAAAGAAGTCTTCTGTGCTTTCTCAGATGTTATGGCACAGCATTAGGAGCAGCCACCATCCCCGGGACAACACCAGGAGCAGCCACCATCCCCAGCACAGCAACAGGAGCAAGTGCTATTAATATTATCCATATAAAAGAGGATGTGTGGCAAGATGAGAGTAGGGATATTATCAATCTTGAGTGACAGCCAATTATGTAGCTCAGACCAGAAACTGTTAGACACGGGGCAAAAAAAAACATGTGTTCCAGAGTCTCATCAGCCAACTCACAAAAAGCACAAGGATCTACTTCAAATTTAAATCTTTTTTTAAGAAAGTCAGCGACAGGGTATATCTTATATTTTAATTGCTTTATTAAAGGTAATTGCATCTTTTGCTTATTTACAAGTTATGGATCTGAACTTTGCTCACTTAAGACAACTTCGGACAATGCTTTTTCTTATGTTTCAGTAGAGCAGATGAATAACTGTAACTCTTCCCACATGAAGAGCACTGGTGCAGTTTCTCTCCAGTGTGAACTCTCTCGTGATCTTTCAGGTGTCCTGACTGAGAGAAACTCTTTTCACAGTGTGAACACTTGTACGGTTTCTCTCCAGTATGAACTCTCTGGTGTGTTTTTAAGTCGAAGGATGAAGTGAAGGTCTTTCCACAGTCAGAGCACACATAAGGTCTCACACCAGTATGAATACGCTCATGCCGTTTTAAACATCTAAGATGTGAAAAACTCTTTCCACAAACCGAACAAAAGTGAGACTTCACAGCAGAATGAACATTAAGGTGTCCTCTTAAGCCTGATTCAAAAACAAATGTTTTATCACACTGATCACAGCTGAATGATCTCACTCCAGAGTGACTGTGCATATGAGAGTTGAGATGACCTTTCTGTGTGAAACTCTTTCCACACTGAGTGCATGTGAATGGTTTTTCTCCAGTGTGAATTCTCATGTGCTTATTAAGATTTCCTTTCTGAATGAAACTCTTTCCACACTCAGTGCAGGTGAAAGATCTTTTGAATTCAGACTTTCCAGCTTGTTTTTGTGTGAAATTCTCTTCAGTCTTTGAAACGACTGCATTTCCGTCTTCATTTTTGAAGTGATGAGGTTTTTGTAACAGATGTTTGTCTTCATTTTTATATGTCAGTTTTCCTTCTTTATTTGTGAAATGATGGTGTTTGTCTTCATTCACTTCCATCCGGTCTGAAACCAACACAAATTAAATTTAAAAAAGGACAAATGAGAAATAGAGTTAAATCTTAATTTAATGGTTAACTTAATTTAGATGTATAGTTATTAGTGGTGGGCATAAATTCATTTTTTTATCTAGATTAATGTCACTGTTATCTTGGATTTAATCTAGTTTAAAATGGCTCATTTGAATTCTGCCGAAGGCATTCAGAATATGTGTGCTACCCAAATAAATGACCTGCAGATAGTTTGTATGATGGGCAGGGGCGGAGCTAGACTCTCAGTAAAATGGGGGCTGAGCTTCAACATGGGTCCTTTTAAAATGTAAAAAAAAAAAAAAAGTAAAATATCTGATGAATGCATATGTAATAATGTGTCACTTGTTGAGCCATGTAAGCTTATGTTAAATACAACAAAAAGCGTATCTCATTCTTTTCCTTTTAAAGTGCCCAATTAATATGTTCTCTCCATTTTCGTAACTATTCTCTACATTACACATTCACACCTCACGCCACCCACTGTATTCCTGAGGCAAGTAGCCTTCCTTATTCGCTGTGTCTCGATTCATTTATGACTCACAAGACGAGCTCCAGTTCACGCGCCGGTGCCTCCATATCGTGATTATCTGCTATATTTACTTCTTATTAATTAAGTCCAAGCATTGGCTGATAAAACATTGATTAAAATTAAGATACAATTAATACAAAACGAAATTCACCATGATAAAAGGCTTTGTACTTTATGTTTGATGTGAGTTTTAAAGCAGTGTTTCAGTGCCGCTTTCAGAGTGGTCAAGGAACTCTGTGTGGTCACATAACATTGTTTTTCCCTCATAAATGCATACACGAAAAATACGACAAAATGAATATTTTATGTTCTGTGGAGAGCCAACACCTTCATCCGGTGAGTAGTAGGGATGGGCATTCGATTAAATTTTCTTAGTCGATTGTCGGAAGAATTAATGATCGACTATCGATTAATCATTAATATTTTTATATTCAAATTTACTATTTATTTAATTTTTATAAATTAAAAATGCAATGAAAATACAAAAATACAGCGCGTTTTTCCTCAATTAGATCTTTATTTCAAGATGATCAACTTGTGGCAGTTAAAGTGGGCATTTGGTTAGGCTAAATTTGAAGATATACATGGCGGTGCTCTAACGGAACGGAACCTGCAGCTGTCTGTTTGTTCCAAAATAATAAATAATAAAAAAATAACTTAACCAAAAACATAATAATATTTAGATCTGACAGGTATTGTCAAAATGTAACTCAACTATCCAAGGCACGGAGTCGAGAAAGGGTGAGAGAGATTAGCCTACCTAACAATCAATTAGGCTAGGCTACTTAAAGCCACATAAAAAATAACTCACATACAACTTCTGCTCCAGTCTACTGATTTTTGTTGAGAAAGATAAGCATGTTGATGACATGATCTGGGGTCAGATGCGACCGTCAAGCCTTGTTTACACTTTCGCCTGGTTCTTCAGCGCGAGTCTCTGCAGACTGCGCACGCACCGAATACCGCAATGACGTCATTTTTGCCGCGCGCACCTTCACACTCGAGTGAAGCTTCACAGACGCGTCGAGTGTAAACAAATGCTTCAGTCCAGCCACTGAAAACACTGCTCTGATGAGGGGGCTGACATAGCTGGGATGCACAGGTACCTCCGCGCTAACATCACCAGCCCGGGGAACACGTTCACTTTCCCCTCACACTACGCAACGGAGCACCATTAGTTTAATGATAATCTATAACAAATTAACATGATCGACGAAATTCTTAATGATCGATAATCAATCGAAGATTAATCATGCCCATCCCTATTGTGTAGTATTACTTTTTGTACTTTTGCCACCTAAAAGTACGTTTTTTTTTTTGTCACATCCGTTACGTATTTACGTTACGTTGTATATTAAATATAAAACGCATAGACTAATATTTTTCTAATGTCTGGACTCCTTTATTAAGCGAGTTTGGATAAACAGACGTTTTAATATATTGGTATTAAATGCCAGAGCAATTCGGCTAGGCATATATCTGCGCTAAAATATCAAGTTGAAAGTAATCATAGCTTGCGTAGTATAGACAGCTCCCAACCCAACTTTGAGAATAGATTAACAACGATATAATTTTTTTAATCGCCCGATAAGAATCTCATATTAACGCAGCACATTAGCATCGATAACGGCCCACCACTAATAGTTATATGTCAGTTTTCATCCAACTTAAAGAGATTTAAGGAAAACACCAACCTATTTGTTGCTCTGTATCTTCATCTTTTATTCTGCAGGGTTCTTCCTTAATCTCCATCTTTACAATAGTATGTCCGTAGTTTCTCCTGGAGTAATTCCTCCTGCTTGCTTCTTCTCCTGTGGGAAGATGGGAATATTCCCCAGCATTTATTTAAACTCATGAACGGCTGTGGGAGCTTCACTGACTGAAGGAGTGAATTGTGGTCGTTGTTTCTCATTTAGCAGATGATCATCAGACTTACAATCACTTGAGATTATTCAGCTCAGAGTTTCAGCTAGAAAAAAAAAAAGTGCTGGTCAAAGTGACCGAGAGAGTTATCGCCTCTTAATTAGTGAAGTTGAGGAAAACTGTAGGCAGATATGTAACTTAAATGACATAATCAGGCCGTATAGAATGCAACATGTCTATTAAGCTAACTTTCAAATAGACCGAAAAAAACTTGAACATCCCATTGTCATCAATCAATGCAAATAGTTTTTACTATTCACATTCATAGTTAAACAAATTAATCCCCCTTCCCCACATTAAAGGGTTAGTTCACCCAAAAATGAAAATTAAGTCATTAATTACTCACCCCCATGCTGTACCAACCCCGTAAGACCTTCGTTCATCTTCGGAACACAAATGAAGATATTTTTGATTAAATTTGAGAGCTGTATAACTACCACATTGGCTCCTAAAGGACTGCCTCTTGACGGCCCAGAAAGTCAATGAAGAAAATGTTTAAATATCCCAAGTGACTACCGTGGCTCAACTATATGTTTATCAAGCGACGCGAATACTTTTTGTGCGAAAAAACAAACAAAAATAACGAGTTTATTCGACTATTTCTTTTCTTCCTTGTAGGCCAGAACGAGACTTCCTTAGATTTCCACAACGCATGCGCGAGAATTGCGATCTGAAGTGGTGTAAGCTGATGTGAGCAGATCGCAAATCTCGCGCATGCGTCGTGAAATCTAAGGAAGTCTCGTTCTGGCCTACAAGGAAGAAAAGAAATAGTCGAATAAACTCGTTATTTTTGTTTGTTTTTTTCGCACAAAAAGTATTCGCGTCGCTTGATAAACATATAGTTGAGCCACGGTAGTCACTTGGGATATTTAAACATTTTCTTCATTGACTTTCTGGGCCGTCAAGAGGCAGTCCTTTAGGAGCCAATGTGGTAGTTATACAGCTCTCAAATTTAATCAAAAATATCTTCATTTGTGTTCCGAAGACGAACGAAGGTCTTACGGGGTTGGTACAGCATGGGGGTGAGTAATTAATGACTTAATTTTCATTTTTGGGTGAACTAACCCTTTAAATATCTCAATAGTATCCTATTGTTTTTACTCAAGTGAACTTAATTATACACTCTCAGTATGCCTCATTTAACAGGTAACAATTAAATTGGCCACCATGAAATGACTCTTCGTCAAATGAACTGGAACAAACAAATAACTAGGCCTATAACATTGTCTCGCATCATGTTAGGCTTCTTTTTACGCTGTTTTGCAGTGCTGAATTGTGCAGCGGCCGACTAAAAATCAAAACTTCCCAGTGTCTCTCCACAACTTACAATGTGCATAAGCCGCATAAGGGCCTGTTCACCTATCGCGTCTTTTGCGCGCTCAAGTTCGTTATTTCAAATGACGACGCGCGGTGCTGTTTGAATGGAGAATGACTGACGAGTCGACGCGTTTGTTTGAATGCTGAATGGAGAATTACTGACAGCCGCAGCGGAGGGAAAAGTTTACGTGAACTTGAATTTAATGACTTAAATATTAATTTCTATCTCATATTATACTATAGTAAGGCATCATATATTATACCCCCCCCCCCCCCTCCGATTCACGTAGGTCACCTATTTTGGTTTCATGTCTGAAAATATCAAGGTGAAAGTAATCATAGCTTGCGTAGTATAGACACAGATCCCAACCCAACTTTGAGAATAGATTAACAACGATAATATTTTTTTAATCGCCCGATAAGAATCTCATAATAACGCAGCACATTAGCATCGATAACGGCCCACCACTAATAGTTATGTCAGTTTTCATCCAAATTAAAGAGATTGAAGGAAAACACCAACCTATTTGTTCCTCTGTGTCTTCAACTTTTATTCTGCAGGGTTCTTCCTTAATCTCCATCTTTACAATAGTATGTCTGTAGTTTCTCCTGGAGTAATTCCTCCTGCTTGCTTCTTCTCCTGTGGGAAGATGGGAATATTCCCCAGCATTTAAAGGGTTAGTTCACCCAAAAATGAAAATTAAGTCATTAATTACTCACCCCCATGCTGTACCAACCCCGTAAGACCTTCGTTCATCTTCGGAACACAAATAAAGATATTTTTGATTAAATCTGAGGGCTGGATCAGTCCTACATAGACTGCCTAAGGGACTGGCTCTTGACGGCCCATAAAGTCATTAAAGAAAATGTTTAAATGTTCCATGTGCCTACAGCGGCTCAATTATACGTTTATCAAGCGACGAGAATAATTTTGTGCGAAAAAAACATAAATAACGACTTTATTCGACTATTCCATTACTTACTAATGGGCGCATGCGCGAGAACTGAGATGACGACGTTCTTCTTCGACTACTTCTTGTTACCGGCTGCTCACCGCTTAGGAGTATTACCGCCACCTACCGTATAAGATGAGAATAGCTGGAAGCGCAAAACTTTCTGTTTGCAAGCAGAGGAAGATCTGCCCTGTACATACGCTTTTCAATTACCATATTTTCCGCACTATAAGGTGCACGTAAAAGCCTTTAATCTTCTCAAAAAATGACAGTGTGCCTTATAATCCAGAGCGCCTTATGTATGGATCATCATCTTATACGGTAGGTGGCGGTAAAACACGCATGTGCTAACAAGACAGGACAGACAGGTGACACGCATTCAGCCTCAAACTCACGGTCTCACGCTCAACAAAGAAATCTCACGCTAAATTAGAAATTCTTCTGTGCTGTATTTTTTTGTATCACTACAGTATAAGCAAGTTCAGATACCCTTCTCTGAATATCTACAGTGGCGTAGGGTGAGGGCGTGAGGTGCATAAAAGCAGCTTTTGACGCGTTCAAACCGAGTTCGAATCCGCCTTTTGCCGAACTTTTCTCTTTTCCCAACACCGAAACCGTGATATGACATTGTGCCTTTATAAAACAGCACAAGACTGTAATTAAGTAACCTATAGCCATTCTGTTTGCGCTGCGTGAGCATGGTGATCTGTTTTCTCCTAAAAGCTCAAGGGTTTATTTCTTGCAAGTGAAGAAATTAGGACAAAACTATTGTAATTTTCCTATACAATAGTGTAAGCAAAATATACTTTTGAAATATTCATTTTCATTTATACAGTACATTTATTGGCTAGGCCTATATGGATTTTTCGTAATAGGAATAATTACGTAAATCATTATTACATTATTATAATAATCGTTTGGCATCCTAAAACAGAGGATTATATCATAACTAAAAAGATGTTTGATCCCTCTTTAACGTCCAGGTACAGGTCGAGGCTTTTCCTTTGTTCAATGTCACAGTTCATGGGTTGAAGCCGGTTAAAGCTCTTAATTTTGAGCTCTCAAAGTGCACCAGATTGATGCATTAAACCTTAAAATGTACAAAATTTTCTTGCGGGGAGCATGCCCCCGAACCCCCCTAGAGTAACAGATGTCTCAACATAGTTTTACAAAATCATATGTTAAAGAACAATAATTTATGAGCTTTACTCCCAAAACAAATTTTGTTTAAATCAGTAAAACTGTTAGCCTATGCTAAATTAAAATTAGACAAACATTTATACATTATACATTTGGCCTACAAGACATTGTGCCCAGGGGACATTGTGCCCTACAAGACATTGTGACGACACCGCCCAATGTCATACATTGTTTTTTCCCGGCCAATGTCATACAACCGTACAAAGGAAACCCAAAGATTAGCAGCTCTGCTCTTATTGTGTGCAATAATAAAGAACAATGCAAATAATGAAAAACCATTAACAATAATAAGGCAGCAGTGGTAGGGGAGACCGGGGACAGTTGCAAAAGGGGATTGTTGCAACATGTCATTTATCTCCAATCAGAAACCAACTAGAGTGATGACACTCACACTGCACATGCACAATTTGATGCCCCACCTAGCAGAGAAAAATCAAGGAGATTTCTGAGCTGCTCCAGGATTTATTGACAAAAAAACTGTTTTTGAAGTAAGAAAGTATTATTTTATTGAGGTTTTTTTTTTTGTTATACTGTTTTCACTTTTTATGTGATTCAGCTCAAACTTATATGGTTTAAATGAGTGATATGTTACCTTTAAGCTGTATGGTCAGCATGTATCAAGGTAGCCTTGTTTAGCTGGTACATGAGCTTATTATGGCTGACAGGAACATTCCTGTCAGCCATTATAAAACAATCATGAACAATGCATAAATAATAAACATAATATAAAATTGTTTTTTAAAACATTTTTTTTTACATGTAAATAGGCTAAATAAAAGTTGATTGCTTCAGAAATGGTTCCATTCTTCCTGTCACTAAAAGCCTACTGTATTTTATATCAGCTTGAATATTTGAACTCTGCACATAAGGCCTATTCATCTAGCTGATGAATAAATAACACTGTGATATTATTATTATATTTTTGATAATAATCCTTTTGCTTACACTGACATATATTGTATTTTGTAACATGTTGCAACCATCCCCGAACATTGTTGCAACTGTCCCCAGGAATCTGACTCCTTACATTCAAATGCAAATTGTGAAAAATGTAGATTCTGTAATTACCTTTAAATGGTGTAGACTATTAACAGACAGATGTAAGATTTTATGGTAACACTTTACAATAAGGTTCATTAGTTAACATTAGTTAATGTATTTACTAACATGCATTAACCATGAGCAATACATTTGTTACTGCATTTGTTCATCTTTGTTAATGTTAGTTCATGAAAATACAGCTGTTCATTGTTTGTTCATGTTAGTTCACGGTGCATTAACTAATGTTAACAAGATTTTAATCAAGTATTAGTAAATGTTGAAAATAACATTAACAAAGATTAACAAATGCTGTATGTGTGCTATTCATTATTAGTTCATATTAACTAATATTAACGAGCCTTATTGTAAAGTGTTACCGATTTTATTGTATAAACAATTGGTTTGTCTAATAAACCAAACCGTCTCAGTAATGGAACAACTGTCCCGGTCTCCCCTTCTTCTAGAAAGAATAACCTCTTAGAAATGCATGAACAATCAGACTGAAAAAACACTGAAATGACAAAGCCTAGTTACTTAGTCTATTTTAAATTTAGCGCCGCGTTTTAGAAAGCGAATGAAACTTTATGTCCGAGACGCTGCAAAGCTCCCTATTTTATTTAAAATAAGATAAAATGTCTCATGTCATGTAGAGATGTTTTAAAGCTTTACACAGAGGGGACCGGACTGCCTGAATTGTTGTACCCAAATCTAAACAAACACTCACCTGATATTCCACAGTGGTTATTTATTATCAGCGTTGTAGATTACATGCACACACACAGGGCAGTTTGCCAAACACTCCAGTAACAACTGCGCGTTACTGCATAGAAATAAAACAGGTAAAGAGCAACACAAATAAAAGACAGGATTTACACGCACATATGCGATGATCACAGCTCGCGCTCTTCATACCGACTGGCCACTGTCTGAGTGCACTGCGCTCGGCTTCTCTTCTTCTTCTTTGATGTTTTATGGCGGTTGGCAAACCAACTTTCGGTGCATTACCGCCACCAACTGGACTGGAGTGTGAAGCACTTAACAGATGAAGACGATATTCAACTAAAAAAAAAAAAAAAAAAAAAAAAAAAAAAAAAAAAAAAAAAAAAAAAAAAAAAACATATGCTTCAGATTCTCCTGTCTATTCCTATTTCTTTGAGATACTTCATTATCGCACTATATATTTTAACTTGTTCTACTTGCTTTCCCAATAGACTTTCCATACTTAATACTCCTACACCCAATTTCCTTACTATCCTCTTAAGTACTACCCTTTCTTTTTCATATTTTCCACATTTAATTAAAACATGTTCAATTGTTTCTGCCTGACCACAATACATACATTTTCCCGTATCATGTTTTCCTATCTTTAACAAGGAATGATTTAATCGTGTGTGCCCTATTCTAACACGAGAAAAAATTGTATCCTCTTTCCTATTCCTAAAAACACTTCTTTCATTTCCTACTTGCTTCTGAATACTATACAATTTTCTACCCGTCCCCTCATTATCCCATTGTTCTTGCCATTTATTTTTTATGAATTCTTTAATTTTACTTTTAACTTCATTTTTGCTCAAGGTCACTTGCACATTGATCTCATTATGTTTTACTGCTTGCTTTGCTATTCTATCTACCACTTCATTTGCCTCCAGCCCCACATGAGCAGGAACCCATACAAACACTATTAAGCTTTCACTACTTATTCTTAGCAAACTAGCAAGTATCTCATATATAATGTCTTGCCTTAATACTTTATTTCCACTTACAAGACTTGTGATTGCTGCAAACGAATCAGAACATATAGCTACTACTCTCGGTTTTACATCTTCTACCCAATGTAATGCAACCATTAAAGCAACTAATTCTGCTGCAAATACGGAGATGTGGTCAGTTATTCTTTTCTTGATACTTATTTGAAACTTAGGAATATATACAGCAGCTGCTGTTCTTCCAGATATAGGATCCTTAGATCCATCAGTAAATATTTGCACCCATGATGAATACTTCTGTTCTAAATACTGCTGTGCTATAATATTCTTTGGGATATCTTTCTTATTTTTAATTTCCATATGAATTTGAAGATCAATTATTGGCCTAGGAAACAACCATGGTGGGATACTGGGTAAAATCACTGTAGGGCTTACATTACAATCTTCAATACCTGCTTCTTTTGCTTCTCTTTGAACACTCCATCCCAAGCTTTTAATGTTTTTATTCCCATGTTCCCAACATTCTTCTAATACCCCCTTCACAGGATGATTCTTTTTATGACCTTTTATATTAACCCAATAGTTCAGTCTTATTTTATGTCTTCGAAATTTTAACGGAGCAACACCAACTTCTACCTGTAGTGCTGCTATGGGAGATGATCTGACTGCACCACAACATATTCTTAGAGCTTGATTTTGTATTGCTTCTATCTTTTTGAGTGTAGTCTCATTTGCAAATC